CCCCAAAACCCCAAAACCCCAAAACCCCATGAACATTGAATTGAAAATTTATTGTAAATTATAAATAAATAAAATGATATCGTGCAGAATTAAAAACATTATATTTTCTATTCCCAGGTAATATTTACAATATTTTGGTCTACTACAATCATATTTTATGAAATAAGCCTCAATAAATATTTGGTCTAATGATCTCATCTTTTCAATATTCAAATTATGCTATAATAGCTATTTCATTGCATTTTGCTTATTATTTATCTACTTGTTCTTAATCAAATATCAGTCTCACAGCTTTAAATAAGTTAGATTGTTCTTTAATTAGATTTTAAACCTTTTTGAACTTAGTCTAAAAAACAACTATATTAGTAATGATTTTCTTCTCAAGTTCATGAATTCGAGAATTTTAAACATTTTGGATTCCTAATTGCCATTAAATTTCTTGAAGAGAATTTTAAATCATAAAGTTTTAATTATGGTGATGCAATTAAGGTGTCATTAAATTGGATTTTTTCTTTTCATCAACAGCCTAAAATATTTTGAATGAAATCTTGATAAGAGCCATAATTATTTCTACAGATTCATCATATGCTAAATCAGTATCATATACTATAGTTTGACATAAAAACTATAAGTAGGTCTGAATACTCTGTTACTCAAGTTTGCCTATTTTTATTAATTGAGGTTATTCAATAAAATATTTTTTTTAAATGATTAGAGCCCTTTCAAAAATGCTTGTACGAAGTAACTTAAATTCTAAAGTTTATAGAATATCTAGTTCCTAATTTTTAATATCTTATTTATCATATTTATCATGAGCAGCATCTTTAACTATTTATTTCATAAAAATCGGAACTTCATCATTCAACTTAGAGCTCATCCAAAGACAAGTTAAGCCTACGAGATGGTATTATTTCTTTGGCACATCTATAGCTTTCTTGTATTTATTTTTATAAAAAGAGTCCATTAAAGAAATTGCAAGAAAAAAAGTATTTATTGAACTCTTATTAAAAACTCTAATCACCTATATAAACCAATCTACCATTCTTGCTCTATTGTATTAAGATAGTGATTGATGCTAATAAGCAATAAGTAAAGGATTTTACGGGATTGATTCAGTATTATCATTTATAGTACAGGCAGTAGGTATTCCAAATTAAATATTTATGATATTTTATTGATAGTCATTGCATAAATATTCCTTGCTTTTTATTTGATCATAGTCTCCTATTGCATTCAGAGTAACTGATTCCAATGTTGGAGGTAATAATTTGTTTTTGAATTTTAAAATTGGTGATTTTATTGGGCTCTATAATTCGGAAAATATAGATCTTCTTCTAATGTTTATAGAGTCTGTCAACTGAATGCTCCTTCTAGTCTGAGAAACTTATTTTGAGAGATCAATATTTTTATTTTAACCTTGAGGAATAATTCTCGGTTCATTACTTTGAGAATTCTCTGAGCTTTATTAATCAATATCAATTGAAAACCCACTGATGTTAGATATTTCAGGTAAACTCTCCAAAAGTTTGGGAGTAGAGATTCTGCTACACTCTTGATTCAGAACTTTGCTCTCATTTTTAAGTTTTAGATGAGGAAGGTAATCATAATCTTGCAGCGTCTAACTAGAGTTAGGACTACCACTTGAAGTGACTATAAACCCTCTTGAAAGCTTTACCACTCTTCTTGCCTACTCCTTTCTGGACTCATTTAATTTAACTGCTAAGTTTAACTCTTAAGTGTTCCTATATCGACTCATTCTCACTGTGCTTTTAAATATTCTAATTTAAGGCTAAAATTTTTATAAACTTAAAAACTAGAATAAATATGTGGAAATACTTAATGAATTTTAATTAACTTAGCAATTTCTAACGTTTGTAAAATTCTTGTTTTAGGGGTTTTGGGGTTTTGGGGCCCCAAAACCCCAAAACCCCAAAACCCCATGAACATTGAATTGAAAATTTATTGTAAATTATAAATAAATAAAATGATATCGTGCAGAATTAAAAACATTATATTTTCTATTCCCAGGTAATATTTACAATATTTTGGTCTACTACAATCATATTTTATGAAATAAGCCTCAATAAATATTTGGTCTAATGATCTCATCTTTTCAATATTCAAATTATGCTATAATAGCTATTTCATTGCATTTCGCTTATTATTTATCTACTTGTTCTTAATCAAATATCAGTCTCACAGCTTTAAATAAGTTAGATTGCTCTTTAATTAGATTTTAAACCTTTTTGAACTTAGTCTAAAAAACAACTATATTAGTAATGATTTTCTTCTCAAGTTCATGAATTCGAGAATTTTAAACATTTTGGATTCCTAATTGCCATTAAATTTCTTGAAGAGAATTTTAAATCATAAAATTTTAATTATGGTGATGCAATTAAGGTGTCAATAAATTGGATTTTTTCTTTTCATCAACAGCCTAAAATATTTTGAATGAAATCTTGATAAGAGCCATCATCATTTCTACAGATTCATCATATGCTAAATCAGTATCATATACTATAGTTTGACACAAAAACTATAAGTAGGTCTGAATACTCTGTTACTCAAGTTTGCCTATTTTTATTAATTGAGGTTATTCAATAAAATATTTTTTTTAAATGATTAGAGCCCTTTCAAAAATGCTTGTACGAAGTAACTTAAATTCTAAAGTTTATAGAATATCTAGTTCCTAATTTTTAATATCTTATTTATCATATTTATCATGAGCAGCATCTTTAACTATTTATTTCATAAAAATCGGAACTTCATCATTCAACTTAGAGCTCATCCAAAGACAAGTTAAGCCTACGAGATGGTATTATTTCTTTGGCACATCTATAGCTTTCTTGTATTTATTTTTATAAAAAGAGTCCATTAAAGAAATTGCAAGAAAAAAAGTATTTATTGAACTCTTATTAAAAACTCTAATCACCTATATAAACCAATCTACCATTCTTGCTCTATTGTATTAAGATAGTGATTGATGCTAATAAGCAATAAGTAAAGGATTTTACGGGATTGATTCAGTATTATCATTTATAGTACAGGCAGTAGGTATTCCAAATTAAATATTTATGATATTTTATTGATAGTCATTGCATAAATATTCCTTGCTTTTTATTTGATCATAGTCTCCTATTGCATTCAGAGTAACTGATTCCAATGTTGGAGGTAATAATTTGTTTTTGAATTTTAAAATTGGTGATTTTATTGGGCTCTATAATTCGGAAAATATAGATCTTCTTCTAATGTTTATAGAGTCTGTCAACTGAATGCTCCTTCTAGTCTGAAAAACTTATTTTGAGAGATCAATATTTTTATTTTAACCTTGAGGAATAATTCTCGGTTCATTACTTTGAGACTTCTCTGAGCTTTATTAATCAATATCAATTGAAGACCCACTGATGTTAGATATTTCAGGTAAACTTTCCAAAAGCTTGGGAGTAGAGATTCTACTACACTTTGTTAATATCAAATTATTATAAAATGGTCTTTTTAAAAAAAGAAGAGAGATCCAAGCAATCTTCAATTTTTAATTTATGTATTGTCTCAAATAGTATATTTATAGGCTAAAACATCCAAGGACTTCTTTGCTAGGAATTAAGGAAAATTGCGTTCTAAATTTTAAAGTCCATATTCTTGGAATCCAAGTTTGAATTTTATGATATCAGCAACGATCTTTTTTATATATTAACTGTTGTCTTGATGCATTATCTAAGTTAGCTTGAAATATCTAAGAAGAGATCGTATCTCTATCAAATTTTGATAGTTAGAGTGTTCCATAGGTGTTTTTATTATTTTCTGATTTCTTCTAGAAATTTTCCTTATATAGAATTTTTTAAGGAATTTTAAAGCTACATATACTATAGCTTATGAAATATTTTATGTGGATTCTCTGTTGATAGAATAAGAATGAAGTATAAGCTAGGAGATAAAAAGTATGTAGTTAAACAGAATCTCTCGTTCTTGATCAGTTAGCTTGACCTATTTATTATTAAACAGTAGTTATTTAATAATTATCATCGATTCCTCGTATATATTATTTGTCCGTACTTTGAAGCCTAAAGCTTAAAGGACGTCTCTTTCCCGTTAAAGGATGTCTTGTTATTTGAACCTGTTATGGCCGGCGTCTTTAAGTATTTAAGACATGAAAATAGGAATGACGTCTTCGTATTTCGAGCTAATATGCATTGAGACAAGTCCTATTTCATGAAGATCAGATTTATGCAAGATTTGTTTCAATTTGTACTTTTCCATAAAGTATCGGTCCATAATTTGCACAGCTAAAAAAAAAGTTTAGGGAGCAGAGACCTTGAATACACGGAATACCTAGATCATCCAGTCTAGCATTCTTAAACGGTGCTTAGTTTTTATTTTGTGGACACTAAGGTAGTCTGGTAGCTTTTCATCTCCATTCATTTCTTGTTCTATCTCAGATATTCTTGGGAGATTAAGTCCATATTGCAAATAAGAATTATTGCTTGCTTTTTACGGGCCGAGTAACCCATGAAAATCGAAAGCCATCAATGAAGATTCTTCAAGAGTAACAGGACTTTTTGGAGTTGTTGCTCTAATTTTACCGCTACTGTTTTATAGACTAGGGTTGATTTCAAAAGTATTGTATTGTCTCAGATCACTGCTGTTGAATTTCTTTGAAATCAATTCATTTTATATATTCTATAGAGCTTTCTGATCTTTGAAAAATTAGTGTACATCTTTTTGATTTTTTGTAGTTTAATTCCCTTAACTCAGCTTGATAGGAATGTTTGGCAACAGTAAGTTGTTAGAATTTATTTTCCCTAATTCAATTTTCCTGTTTGAGCCAGCTTTAAACAATTTTCTTTGCTTTATAGCGAATGCTTGCAATTGAGCTTGACTTTCACTGGTTGGTTAATAACTCACTCTTCTCTATTCTTATGGAGCTTGAATCTTTTATAGGCTTCTGTTGCTTCTCAAGTGGAAAAATCCTTGTTAATTCCTCATTGTTCTCGTCATCTCACTTGATTCTCTTAAGACTCTTAGTTCCGTCGAAGTTTTAATGCAAACTGATTCAGTGGGGTTGATCATCTAATTAAAGTTGAAATAATTTAATTGTAATAATTCTAAAGCATTTCATTATTTATACTTATAAATATTGCATTAAAGTGCAAAACAGAATATTAACCTATTGATCAATTTAACCTTCGATAAAATTCGAAATACTCAGTCATGGGGTTTTGGGGTTTTGGGGTTTTGGGG